CCCATGTTGATCCTTTCTTGAGGTGATTCTGCAGAGCAATTTAGAGCTAATTCCATGATGGACGACACACACTGCACCTTTGTAGTGAAGTCTTCTTCCTCTGGCGATAGCGAGTTGGAATGTAACCTGAATTACTGCATTGGGTAACGAGTCCTTTACCCAGGTTCAACTCTCCAGCAAATTCATCAGTTTGTTTTTTCTTGTAAATGTTTCCATTAACATAATGCCATAACTGTAAACATCACACCTTGTGGATACTAATCATTCCGTTCCATATTCTACATCAATCCAACAATATATACAACTCATTGCTTAATCTGATCACAGAAAGAAAGGCAATCTAGCCACATACAGTATAAACAGACAAGCAATCTTGTAACTAGTACATATCGTAGATGGATCAATCTAATTAATCTGATACAAATACCATCTACATACTGTTTTATCCACCAAAAACTAGCTTTAAATGTGCTTTCTCCATCGACGAGTAACCTCTAACAGTGAAGTTCTAGCATCATGGAAGAGGAGAGCTACCACAACCTGGATCAGTTAGCAAAATGATCAATCCTAGAAAGAAATACAATGACTACTTTTTTTATTTAATACAACTTTGATTTAGGTTAAGGATATTGACAACCTTAAACAAGACATTTACCACCAATAGCACACACTAGGAAACTACATGTGGTCCTGGTCAGTTAGGATATGCCATGTCACTAAGTATGTCATTTTTATTTAACATTTTCGTAACATGACACATATATTTTGATTGATCGAGACCACACGATCCCAAACCATCTAATAGCATAAGCAAACCTAAAGAAAGCGAGATTTAGAAAGAGAAAAAGAAAGAGAAGTTAGAGAAACACATAGTGAGTGGGAGTTAGAAAATATTAAAAAATAGAGAGTTGCACACGCGAGATAGAGTTAGAGACAGAAAATGAGAGTTGAGTAGATAAATGTATGGTAAATTAGACTGACTTTCCTTGATGTTTTGTCAAATTATACTCAAATGGAGGGTTCGGCCATTATTACTTTTGCCTCCCTTGTTACAGTAAACCAAGCTACAGATGTTAAATTTTATGTTAAAATGTCAATTATACCCATGTTTCATTAGGGCTATAAACGAGCTGAGCCGAGTCAAGTAATGGTGTGCTCGAGCTCAACTCGGTTAGGTAATAGGCTGCTTAAGCTCGGCTCGAGCTCGAGTCGAGCCTAGAAAATTTAGTTCGAGCTCGGCTCGGCTATGTTTGATGAGCTTCGAGCTGAGAGCTCGATAGCTCGTTTAATTTAATTTTATTATTATTATTTTTTTGTTGGTGGTACTTCACATCTATTCTAACAGATCTGGAACAAAATAAATAAATAAATAAATAAAAATTGAGAGAGAAATAGATTTGCATCAATAAAAAGAAAAAAGTTTGAGAGAAAAAGAGAAAGAAAGTGATTAATTTGGTCGAAAATTAAACTTACCAGAATTAATTTTGATGAAAGAAGTTGAGAGATGCACAGATCAATAGTAAACCCCAAAATTTATACTAAAAATTAGTTTGGATGAAAGAAGATTAATTGAAGAAAAGAAGGAGTTTTTGGGAGAGAGAAATGTGATTGGAAAAATGGTCCATTGGTAGCTATTGAAGTAGGTAATGAGAGTGAGAAGATAGAAAAGTGAAAAGATACTTTTGTATATATATATATACATGTACAAGTTTACATGAGAGAGAGAGAGAACAGATGGAGTCAACCTTAAACATAAAAGGGTTTATATATAAAGACAAGAAAGACATATTTGCATAATAACCACAAATTCTATATATAATTATAATCTGACCCCAACATAAATATATATCTACATATAAATGTGTTACATACTGTTAAACACTAATTGACTCTAGAAGAGGGGGTGAATAGAGTCAATGGGTAATTTTTAAAAATAATTTACAATTTCAACTAGAGATAAACAATTATACAATAATCAATTAAAATAGATGATAATTCAAAGCATAAATGTAAGAGAGATAGGGATAAAAAATTGCAAACAATGACACGGAGATTTTAGCGAGGTTCGGAAAAATTCTATTCCTCAGCTCAAGATCCCTCTTGAGACTTCCCAATCCACTAGAGCTTCTCCTTTATGGTGGAGAACGATGAGATTTCTTTTGAAGCAGGAGTGCGACCTTCACATGAAGCAAGCCCTTGCTTCTCTTTCTTGCTAGGAGAACACCCTTCTCCTAGGCTTCTTTTGGGTCATACCAACCCTTACAAGTATGTAAATAAAATACAAGATTGAATTTCTCACTCTCAAGATAGATTTACAATTGTAAGCTCACAACTAGAGTAAGTATATGAATGAAATGAAGCTCAAACTCTAGTATGATATGAGAGAATAAGAGATATGGAATGAGTAATCAAATGATTGCCTTGAATGCTCTAGAATGAAGTTCTTGAATGCTCTTTAAATTGCTCTCAATAGATATGTATGATAACACAAGCTGCAACTCTTATTGATAGAGTGAGGAGGTCAATATAGTTATTGGAGATGAGGTGTCAATAATCCAAGTTCGCAAGTAGCCGCTTGATTTGAAGTTGATTATGCATCGGTCAGCTGATGAAGCATCATCGATCGGCTGAAAGCCTTTCGTCAGCCGGTTGATCCCCATTCGTTGGTCGGCCGAAATGATTGTTAAAAGTTACTGCTCTTGGGACTTCATGAAACCTTCTTGTCGGTCGGCCGGTGAGTGTTCTTCAGTTGACTGATACATTTATATACTCTGTGAAACCCTAATCGGTTGGTTGAACCATCATATTCAGTTGGCCGAAATGTCTCTTGGCCAAAATAAATCTCTCTGTTATGGATCTTGTGAGCCTTCATCCTCCTCCTCTGCTTCAAGGTTATATAAACAATATATGATGCCATTTAAATCATGATCCTAGGATGTGTGAGGTTCATGACATTCATACAGTAATTTAACATTTGAATCTATGGCACTCCCCAAACCTATCTACCCATTTGAATTGCCACTTTTGATTACTTATCTTCTCCATGTTTCACCTTTGAAGTTTGGAAGTGAATGACTTGTTTTTCTTTTGTCTTTGGAGCACGTAAAATGTATCACGCTTGGCTTTACCTTTCCTTGTTTTCCATTTCACTTTTAGACTTCCTGTTATATGTTCTCAAGGCAAATGTTAGTCCTTAAAACACAATTAATGTTTTGTGATTGTCAAAATTGGTCTTAGGGTTAACAATCTTCCCCTTTTTGATGATGACAAAACACTGATGTGTTTTAGAAATAAGTGGAGTTACATTTAAACATGCTCCCCCTATCATTATGCTCATTTGTTCTTCATAGCAGGTAATTAAAGACAATTTAAGATTGCAATTGGGAATAGGCATTTTTCATATAAGTCTCCCCCTATTTTTATGCATTGTATATAAAATTTACAGATAGGTATATCTAGAGAATCATATAGAGACCAACATTGACATTTAGAAAATGAATACAATAGTCATGAACTGTGTCAGCAAAATAAATAGTTTGTCCAAAGTCAAAATAGACGGTCTATCCAAAATCAACATAAACAGTCTATCCAAAATAATCCTGTGTCAACAACTAGAAACTATCAACAACACATCAACATAACTTCAGCCAAACACCACCAAAATAAACCAATTGTCAACAAACATTAACTACATTTTCTCCCCCTTTTTTTCATCCTCAAAAATAAAACATAGCATAGAGAGGCAAAATAAAAACTGAAAAATAAAGGAAAGTAAGTCGTAGAAATCATCAATAGGGAGGAAGATCGGCAGCCATACGCAGTTCCTCGAGATTCGTCTTGATGGAGTCGACATCACCCTCAATAGTGTCTATACAGTAGGCCAAATCATTGACTTTAGATTCAGTCCGGCAAGAGATGTTGATATGCTCATGTAGAAGAGCATTTTGCTGCGTGAGGAGCTCGAGAATAGCAGGATCGGTCTGTGGAGGTGGCATAGGGATAGGAGGATCAACTGGAGGAGGGTCATCATGATCATCATCCTCATGGATAGCAGGGGCTGGAATATTAGGAAGGACAAGAAAGTCCCCATTGTCTCAAAGCTCTCCCCTTTCTAAAGCTTCATCCAAGCCCTCTCAATAGGATTGTACCAATGCCCTTCACTGTCCATCTTAAACCCCATTAACCCAAGAGTGGTCGATTTAAGTTTGTTTCGAGGCCCCTGACTCATTTTCACTTCACGATTAACGAATAGCCCCTTTGCTAGAAAGATGCAACTCAATGGCATGGCATAAAAGAGATACTTATCTTCACTTTGTTGGTAGTCAAGGATATGATGAAACATAAGAAAAATGAGATTAAAATTCTTACCATTAAGGATGCACCAAATGAGAAAGGCCTCCATATCTAAGACATCCGAGTGACCTCCGAATTATAGAAGGATGTTATACATGATGATGTTGTAAATGACCCGAGCTTCCAAAGTAAGCTGTTTGGCGTGAACTTTTTGAGTATTTGTGATCCACTTATTGTAGCTCATTTGTCGTACGGCCTCAAGCTCATTGAATCCCTCCCCTTGATACCATGTGAATGTGGTAAAGTATTTGATGGAGCCTTCAGGCAAGTCAAGAATGGAGTGAATGGTAGGAATGTCTAGGGTGAAGGAAGTACCCCCAACAAAAGACTCCATTTTCAGAGAATGTGGAATTCTTTCAAGATGTGTATAAAAGAGACGACCTAAGCGAGGGTAGAATGAGACATCCATAGATACATATTTTCCCAATCCTATGGCATCAAAGAGTTCGTAAATGTTGAGATGAAGAGCCTCACATTCAGATTTAGATAAAACTTTCCCAAAGGCAACTTTTCTATGAAGGAAATTAGTATCATATAGATTTTTCTTGGTTGGGTTTTTGAAAAGAGCAAGGTTGGACACTGGCAAGGACTCGGTGTTACTAGCCTCGGTTTGTTAAGTATGGCTATCTTTCTTTCGTTTGGTAAGTGGGTCAAAACAAAATAAATACCAATAGCACTGATGCAAATATTGAGAATATAGACATCTAATAATTAATTACATAACTATCCAAAGTGTCGATCTAAGGATCCCGAGGTATCCGCCGAACAAATCAAAGTAATTATTAATTAATAAAAAAGTCTATACTTCTCTCATGCTTGAGAGTCAAAAGTCATGACTGTGATAGAGAGCAATTGCATACGACAGCTCTCGCAATATATCTCAGTCTATTGTGAACTCGGTTTAAGTCTTAACTAATTAAATGTCCATCCATAATTACAGACTTTAAACCATTTATGATTACTAATTTATATCATAGTATTAATTGTCATTACATACATATATAAATATATTTTGTAATCAAGCGGACACAATCAATTCCATAAAGAATCGAAAAATGATACATTCCATTCCCCAATTGTATAATGCTTTAATAATAATATTCAGATAAGAAACCATGACTTTTACAATCCTAAATTAGAATTTGCTATGCTAGGGCACACATATCCTAACAGGGATATCATGAGTGAATTGATTCATTGAAAGATCAATCAGGTTCACTACCTTTAAACTTCCAATCTCCGGAGGTAGATGACCACTTAGAGAATTCGCGGATAAGTTCAACCGCAGAAGATCTTTGAGGTTCCACATACTTGTTGGTAAGCTGGAATTTAATCTGTTGGAATCCAGATATAGATATCTTAAAGAAGTAACATTCCCCAAGCAAGCAGGGATGGGACCAAACAGAGTATTTTCACTCAAAGCTAACTCACCCAAGTTGAGTAAATGGCAGATCTCATCAGGAATGGTTCCTTGTATTTGATTGTAATCAAGATGCAATCTTTGAATCTTGTTTAACCCTTTGATGGTTGTCGGAATAAGCCCAGTCAAATGATTGCCATCTAAATACAAGGATGTCAAATTGCTTAAATTACCAATGTCACTAGGAATGCTGCCCACAATTCCACGGTTGGTTGCAACAAACATTTCGAGAGAAGTGGAGAGATTTCCAATGGACACCGGAAGACTGCCCTTTAGAGGATTACAATTGATTGTCAATGTTCTTAAGCGTCTGCAGTTTGTCAAGGGAGTGAGGAAGCTCAGTTCCGGAGATGAAGATTCAGTGGTGAAGTTGTTCAGTGAAAGGCCTAGAGACTCGAATTGTACCAAGTTACCAAGTGAGTGAGGAATTGAACCAGTGAAGGAGTTGGAGACGAGTGATAAAAGAGTGAGCTTTGTGGCATTTGATATGGAGGGGGGAAGAGTTCCACTAAAGTAATTTTCTTCGAGATAGAGCCCTTCGAGATTGGGTAGTGTATGACCTATGCTTGATGGAAGATTGCCTGAAAGGTCATTAGCCACTAATGAGAGCACTCGTAGTGTTGAGATGTTGAAGATTGTTGCTGGAGTTGGACCTTTAAAGCTATTGAAATGTAATACTAAACGCTCCATATTGCGAAGGTTGCCAATCTCTTGTGGTATTACACCTGCCATAATGCAAAAAATAAATACATAATAAATAAATAAAGATTAAGTGTTGTTTATTAGAATTCAATTCTGTGGATTAGACAAGTTTAACCAAACACCATGAACAGACAGTAAGATATAATCACTAAACAAACAGAAAAGGTGTTGGCTCTATTGTTTTCGTCTTCTTGTTCTTCTTTTCTTTATTTTTTTTTTTTTAATGGAGCCTTGTACGTAATAGATAAGATTCAAGTCAACTCCATATATCTCTCAACGCTGTTGTATATATTTTAAAGTGGAATTCAATCTTAGTTATAAGAGTTAGTTTTGGACTCGTAACTTACTGCTTTGAATTTCATGTATTTTGTATCTATATATTGACTGAATGAATGAGAAGCCAAGTGGGCTATTCTTCTCCTATGTTTATCTGTTAGTATGTTCTGTGGTGCTATGTTTTCTTGAGTTTATTTTATCTGCCTTCTGCTCGGGCTCATTTTTGTTAATATAAATAAAAAAGAAAAAATGATAATGTGTCTGAAAATAAAAGTCAGTTTTTCCTTTATTTTTTATCTTTTATTTATTTAAGTAAGAAATGACATCAGGCATAATGACTGAAGTCTTTTCCTACTCACATAAATGCAAAATTATATACATTTGACTTATATAAATATAGTTGGATAAATCTCACTTTCTAACCCCTAACTCAAAAACAAATCCATGAAAATTTATTTGCAAAAAATAAATAAAAAAACAAAAAGGAATATGTTTTGGTGTAAGAAAAGGTAACCACATGTGCAAAAATAAAAGGAAGAAGGAAATTATACCTGTTAAGCTATTGTTGCCAAAATCAAGCAGTTTAAGAGAAATGATACTGAAAATAGAAGATGGCATGTGACCAATGAGTCCCGCTTGCCCTACATTTAATTCCTCTAGATTAACAAGGTTACCAATCTCCCGAGGAATTTCACCTGCAAAAAAATTTACCCTTGGTAATAAATTTTCATTGTGTTTGGCTCAGATAAATATTCTTTTTCTTTAAAATTTGTCATTATAAAAAATTTGCAGTTTTGTGGTATTATTCTTCGGATGTTCAAAGTAAAAAATTAAGGATTCGTGTTCACACAGGAAATAAAGTGGATGAGTTTTTTTGCTAAGATAAATAAATAATACTAATAATTTATAATAATAATATAGGTAAAGTGCAAAAAATCCTCCTGAATTATTGACATTTTGCAACTAACCCCCCTGAACTAAAGATTGTCTCCCTAAACTATTGATTTGTTACAATTAAGGACAAATCCATCACAAAAGACTATTTTACCCTTTGTTATTAAATTTGATATTTCTTATTAAATTACTTTTTTTTATTATATTTTCTCTTATTTAAATATTAATTATACCATTTACCTTAATTTTATCATTAGTATCAATTGATTATAAAAATGGAAAGAAAATAAATTTGTAGCTATCATTTTCTAAAATGATTAACTTATTATAATAAAACTTATTATACTCACTTTAAAAAAAAAAATAGTATAAAAAAGAATCTTCTTTTTCAAACAATATTCATGAAAAATTAATAAATTACGTAAATAAAAAATATCTTCTTTTTAATGCAATATATTCATGAAAATTAAGAAATTACTTAAATTGTTTCAAAATTCTCTATTTAAAATTTTTATTTAAATAATTAATTTAAAAATTAATGGCAAACTTGTGTAAATTTAATGGATAATATTTCATCAAATTAGTATGAATTTTTTTCATAATTTATTTTATGAAGAAAAATATATCAAGTGTAATTTAAAAAAAAATAGTATTATGGTCAGTTAATGAAAAGTAGGTAAGACAATGGGGCATTTGCAACTAAATGTGATAGTTTAGGGGGTTTTATGCACAAAACATAGTTCAGGGAGATTATTTGCAAATTTAGATATAGCTGATGGGTTTTTTTTTCACTTTACCCTAATATATAAATAATCCTTGTCCAAAAAAAAAAAACATAATAATATATAATAAAAATAATAATTTATGATAATAATATATAATAGAACTAAACTGAAATATCAGTAAAGTTTTTGTATGTACCATTCAAGTAGTTAGCACTAAGATACAACTTCTTAAGCACTGTTGAGTTGCAAATCTCTCTAGGAAAGGGTCCCCTGAATCTATTGACGTCCAACCTTAAAATCTGAAGTTCTGAGCATTTAGATAGACTTGACGGAATTCAGCCATTAAACTCGTTAAGAAATAGATTAAGCACTTCCAGTTTTGGATGCTAATTGCACAGATCCACAGGAAGATTACCAGACAAGCCATTTCTTGACAGATTATTTACTCGCAGCGATGACATGTTGAAGATTGTGGGTGGTATGGAGCCTGAAATATAATTGTTGAGGCTGAAATTCGCGCAGTCCGATACGATACCGTTTTCCTGCAAGGAAGAGAGGAAAAGATCGATGAACCTTGACGGCACCGGTGTGGTGCCTGCCAAGAGCTCTCCGACGATCAAATTAGTCACGAAGGTCTAAAAAGAAGGCAGGGATTAATAATAGTTTTTACGTCGTACCTTCTTTAATGGCTTGGTGCCCTATTTATGGCTATCGATTGGAATGAAAATCGTTCTGCCGATATCGATGGTTGATCGTATCTTCCGCTTGTGCGAAATCATAGGAGATTTGTTGTCAGATTTGTCAGGGATATGATTTAATCCTTTTGACCTCATTCAGTTATAATAGGATTATTCTTACCTGTTGAACCACGTCAGATTTCATTATCAAATCCTTGATAATGAAATCTAATCAATCTTATCGAGGGTAGGGTAGGTTTATATTTTTCCCTATCAGTTGCCCTCCATTTCCAAGCTTACACGTCTAGCTTTGGGAATGTAATAAACAATAATTTTTTTTTTTTTTTTTTAACCCTTGTGAACAGTACCCGCGGGTACTATTCACGTGAATAGTAACTCAGGATTTTTTTTTTCAACCCCTGTGAACAGTACCCGCGGGTACTATTCCCGCGGGCACTATTCACGTGAATAGTAACTCAGGAATTTTTTTTTTTGGCACCCAAGGGAACAGTACCCTCAGGTACTGTTCATGAATAGTATTTTTTATTTTTTTGGCACCCGAGGGAACAGTACTCTTCCTTTGATAAGGGAATAAATTGTATGAGTTTCACTCCTTAATAAGGGAATTGAATTTTACGAGTTTTACTCAGCTCGTCCCTTTAGTAAGTGAATTGAACTTTACGAGTTTTACTCAGCTCACCTCTTTAATAAAGGATTTTTATTTACTATCCCTTATTGTAAGGGGATATTAATTACGGGATTCATCCAACCCGGGTCCTTATAGTACAGGACATTCATTTATTATCCCTTATATTACGGGGATATGGATTACGGGATTCATTCAGCCCGGGTCCTGATAATACATGATACTTATCCCCTATAGTCCGGGGATATGGATGATGGAATTCATTCAGGCCGGGTCCTTGTAATATAGGACACTCATTTACTATTCCCTTATAGTACGGGGATAAGGATTACGGGATTCACTCAGCCCGGGTCCTTGTAATACAGGACACTCATTTACTACCCCTTATAGTACGGGAATACGGATTATGGGATTCACTCAGCCCGGGTCCTTGTAATACAGGACACTCATTTACTATCCCTTATAGTATGGGAATACTGCACGTATAAACTAAAAGGAATTTTATTAAAGACCGTCATTGCATCAAGTCTTATTAAAAACAAAATAACACGTGATGGAGTTACCCTCCATTTAAAATGATTAACTAAGATGCCCCCAGTCTTTATTGTGAATGACTTGATAAGGCTAATTCCAGGCGTGAGACAATTTCTAGTCGGTATACTCATCTGAGTCATTCTCATGATATGTGCTGTCGCTTTGGCTGAAGAACGATTTCTTATATTTGGTATTATTTTCATCCCTGGCAAGAGGGGCTGGCCTCTTCTTGTCCTCTCCTTCCTTCCGTGCACTCATGGTGTCTTCAGCGTTGATGTGTTTTTGCGCTCTGACCAGCAACTCTATCATGCTGGTGGGAGGTTCTTTTGATAAGGAGAATAAGAATCTGGAGGTTTGGAGTCCTCCTATGAAAACGGTCAAAGCTACCTTGTCGTCCACCTCTTCTACCTGCAACATCTCTGCGTTGAATCTGGTTATGTATTCCCGAATCGACTCTTCTTTTTATTTCTCCACGGTAAACAGGTAGGTAACCGGCCTCCTATGCCTCTAACCTGCAATGAAGTAGCTCACAAACTGCTTACTCAATTCTTCGAAGGTGTTGATGGTTCCTGGCTTCAACTTGTTGAACCAAACTCTCGCTGATCCCTTAAGTGTAGTGGGAAAAGCTCGGCACATGATTTCATCTGGCACAGCGTGTAAATGCATAAGAGCTTGAAAAGTTTCCAAGTGATCGAGGGGATCTTTGGTCCCATCGAAGCTTTCGAACGAGGGTATCCTGAATTTGCTAGGTAGTAGACATTTCATAACGGCGGGGCTGAAAGGCAGGTTGGTCCTTTGTACCAAGTCATTTACGGCGGCAAGACCTTTCCCTTTCATAGCCTGCATTACATCTTCCATTTTCCCCTTGAGATCCTTGATCTGTAAGTCGAGATGGGTAACTTTCTTTGTTTTTTCCTTAAGACAAAAGGCTATGCTTTCAGGAGGTCGGGAACTCCGTGGGAGAGATGGGTGAACCACCTCTCTATGTCGGGTTCCCACCTGGCTTAGTTCCACTTCAGTCTTATTTTGGGGGGGGGGGGGGGGGTGATTATCCTTCTCTTCAAGATTCCCATTACCTCCGTTTGGATTTGAGAGATCTTGTCCTGGAAAGTTTTGTTGAACCGGTGGAACAAAGTGCTATAAGAGCGTTGCATTTTGCTGGATCAACTGGTTCATACCCTGACTCAGAGTTTGAACCTGCAGTTCCAACGCTGCAAGCCGTGCCTGGTCGTTTGGGACGTCCAGGTTTTCACCCGACTCTACCCTTTAACCAGATCCCTGCGACGGTGTTCCTTCGGTAACCATACCGGATTGTAAACGTATATACCCAACGAGTAATTAATTAATTCAAGGAAATCGTCGTTCCCACAGACGACGCCAACTGTTGAGGCTAAAATTCGCGCAGTCCGATACGATACCGTTTTCCTGCAAGGAAGAAAGAAGATCGATGAACCTTGACGGCACCGGTGTGGTGCCTGCCAAGAGCTCTCCGACGATCAAATTAGTCATAGAGGTCTACAAAAAAGGCAGGGATTAATAATAGTTTTTACATCGTACCTTCTTTAATGGCTTGGTGCCCTATTTATGGCTGTCGATTGGAATCAAAATCGTTTCGCTGATATCGATGGTTGATCTTATCTTCCACTTGTGCGAAATCATAGGAGATTTGTTGCCAGATTTGTCGGGGATATGGTTTAATCATTTTAAACCTATTCAGTTATAATAGGATTATTCTTACCTGTTGAACCACGTCAGATTTCATTATCCTTGATAATGAAATCTAATCAATCTTATCGAGGATAGGGTAGGTTTACATTTTTCCCTATCAGTAATATATAAATTAATCATTTTCCATGTATAAAATTCATCTATATATATATATATATATATCTATATATATAGCTTTAACCATGCATATAATATGGTACCTGTAAAGCTATTGCTAGTAAGAAGCAAATACTGAAGTTGAGCCAAGGCACCCAACCACGATGGTACTCCTCCGGTAAGTTGGTTGGACACAAAATTCATGAATTTCAATCGACCGCAGATGAGTTAATTCATTTGGTAGATAGGCACTGAAATTGTTGTTACTGAGGTCGAGTGAAACGAGAAACGAGAGATTACCCAGGTGAAGATGCAAGGAATTCATTTCCATTTTCTCTCTCTAGAATTCTTACACTTCAACAGAATAATCCCCTTCTCTATCCATTACTTCTCATATTTATAGATACTTACAAACACTAATGGACTGCTAGATCTGGACCCGTTCCTCTGTGGGTTTTGGTCATCTTTGATGGGCTATTCGCGTTCGGCCCATATGGCAGTGTTTCTTTATGGGCTGAACCCAGCTGCTCGGACCGGATGCCATGTTCGCGGGTCATATCCGGCCCATGTCACTTCTGGCCTCCTCAACTGCCCCCATAATTACTCCCTATTTAATAAAGGGATAATTATCAAAGGCGTCTCATCATGACGTTGACGGCTCGAGAAACTCTTATGGGGGAATGGGCGGTCGGATCCGGAATCAATGTTCCGGGATTCGATAAACTTCTCGCCTCCCTGACGCTTCGGCCCTCGGGTCCACTTCGTCTTTATAAGGCTCTAGAAAGCCACTTCATGCCTTTTTACCGTCTCCATCTCTCTCCATCATCAGTCAAATCTCTCGCTCATCTTTTTAGAACAGTGCTAAATTTCATCCGGTGAAATTCTTCAAAAGTCGTTCTTCCAGCGATCTTGCAGTGATCTTTGCTGCTTTCTACCCCAGAGGTTAGTCTTGTTCCTTTTTACTTTCGGTAGACTTCTTTTTACTCTTTTAGATCCTTCATTCGCTTTCACCATGGTTGTAGATCTAGATGTTCTTCGTATGAGACTTAGACTTCCTGACAACATCCAAGTTAGGGTTTGCCCTAGAGATGTTAATATTATGACCGGTGCCGGCCTTCTTCCCGGCGAGGTTTTATTTACTAACCTTCAACTGAATGTCGTTAGGTTCCCTCTGCATCCCTTCTTTAACTATGTTTTCAATAGACTGGGGATATCCCCTCTGCAGGTAAACCCAAATTTCCTTAGAATCATATCTATTATGTTACTACTGATTCGTGACAGAGGTCTGGATCTTGACCTCATAGATCTTCTTCTTTGCTATAAGGTCAGTAAGATCCGGACTGAAGAGCCATTCTACCACCTTTACCCGATCGACAAGATGTCCATATGTACGGATACAATCAAATTCGAAAAGGGTTGGAGGGATAACATTGTGGGTGTTAGTGGGGCCTAGTCTTCACCGGCTGCAGAGGATTACCCAATCCCGAGCGCCTTTGGCGTCTGTTCTGTCTCCTCGTATAAGAAATTCAAATCTCATAAAAATGATTGTCCCTGCGAAACATGTGTTCCTTACTTTTGTACTTTCTTATGTCGCTCCTTAGGCATACCTTGTGATGACTTGAGCTACAGTGTTTGCAGGGATAGGAGTAATTACTTGAAGAAATACGTTCTGAACGATATTCCTTCTTGCTCAGACCTCCTCACTTCAGACAACCTTCTAGCGCTCTCATCCCTCGGCTATACAATGAGGAGGCTTCAGATTCCTTCCTTTGGTAGGAGGAAAAATCCTCCCCAAGCCACTACTGCCGCTGGAGCAACCTCCTCTCCCGCATCAGCCTCTTCTTCAGCCACCATCTCTGACACTATCCCAAGTGTGGTGGCTATTATCCTGTTGTTAACACCCCTGCTACCAACTTGAGCACATCTCCACAGATCACTACTACCCCTGCTGCTGCTGGGGGTGTTCGGGACAAAGAGCGAGGCAAAAGACCTCATCCTGACGGTGGAGTCAACCTCGAGGAGGAATCTCTTACAAGGAGGACCCGAGTTTCTGGGCCGAGCGCTCTCTTGCATCGCCCAGTCAGAGCTCCTGCCCCCTTCGGGCCTGTTGCAGCTACTGCCTCTGCTTCTGCTTCAGCTTCTGCCTCTGCTTCTACTCCTGTTTTACCACCATGGGCTCCTCGATACACCCGAACGAATGGGACGTTCGTGAAGCCGAACGAGACCATGGTCAAGGATGGCCAGACCGTCATGGCGTACTATAGGAGCATGTGGACTCCAAAAGACCTTGAGGCAGCGAAGGGTCTGTCACAAAAGGATGTGTTCAGCCACTTTCCCCAATCTGCCATGGAGGTGACTTTTATTTTCTAACTCATGAATCTTCTCATAATATTTGCTCTTGCCTTCGTCCGACCAGGCGATCGGTTTAACCAGTATTCATGCATATCTATGCAGACCTTGTTCGGTATGATGGCTATGCAGAAACAAGTGGAAATGGGGAATGCCAGGGCCCGTAAATTCTCTGATAGCCTGGATGTGGCTAATAAGGAAAACGATATTCTTGCCAACAAGAACACCGAGATATTGGCTCGGCTTGAAAAAGCTGAAAAAGAGAGAGATGCTCTGAAGAAGGAAACCGACTCTCTTCAGGATGAAAAAGATGCCCTTCAGCTTGAGAAGAGTGCCTGGCAGACTGAGCGCGATTCAGTCAGAGATGAAAAGGCAGAGCTCCAGCGCCTTCTGGCTGACGAGCAGTCTGCTCGGATGGCATTTGAGAAAAGAGCTCTGGACGAGCGCAACGCTCTGATTGACACCATTAGCAGAGTGAATGGTGGCATATTGGCTCTTCATGCTTGGTTTTCAAGAGTTGGAGCTCTTAGATATGCTCAGGGATTCCGAGATGGTTTTTCCGATCGAGTTCCGGCTGAGGGACAGACCAGTTCAACTCTGGATGAAATTGATAAGGATCTAGGGATTGACCCTTTGGGGGTCTATGTTGACCCAAAATCCACCGCAGCCGAGCACATATTTGATGAGTGTCAGGAGATTGCTTCCTCCAGGATCACTACAGCTCCTTCTATCGTTCAGCCTCTAATCGCTCTCTCTTCGTCAACTATGGTATCTCCCATAGTCATTGCTGATGTTGGGCCCCAGCAGAATGACTCTGTTATTCATCTCGATTCCCCACCTCGTGAGGGTGAGATGGCTAATGGGAACGAGAAGGTGAGTCAGCACAACCAGGAAGCTGACGGTACTGAGGCAGCTAACTGGGGCTCTTCAGATCCCTCAATTTCATACTCTTTTGTAGTCATGTGATTTGAATGCTTCACTCTTTGTAACCTTGAAGCTTATTATGAATGAGACGATAAGACTTTTTGTACTATGCTCTATTCAAACCCACTTTCAATACTTTTTCATATTGACTTTGCCGTGTGAGTGAGTGCCTGGCGCTCGGCCTGAATGCCACACGCCACTTGGCTTTTTATTTTTAGCAAGTGTTTGGCGTTCGGCTCATGGTGCCAGTTGCCACTTATCTTGCTTAAGTGCCTGGCGCTCGACTAGAATGCCACTTGCCACTTGGCTTTTTTAATTTTTAGCAAGTGTTTGGCGTTCTGCTCATGGTGCCAGCTGCCACTTATCTTGCTTAAGTGCCTGGCGCTCGGTTAGAATGCCACTTGCCACTTGGCTTTTTTTATTTTTAGCAAGTGTTTGGCGTTCGGCTCATGGTGCCAGCTGCCACTTATCTTGCTTAAGTGCCTGGCGCTCGGCTAGAATGCCACTTGCCACTTGACCTTTTTATTTTTAGCAAGTGTTTGGCGTTCGACTCATTGTGTTAGCTGCCACTTATCTTGCTTAAGTGCCTGGCGCTCGGCCTAAATGCCACACGCCACTTGGCTTTTTTATTTTTAGCAAGTGTTTGGTGTTCGGCTCATTGTGCCAGCTGCCACTTATCTTGCTTAAGTGCCTGGCGCTCGACTAGAATGCCACTTGCTACTTGGCTTTTTTTATTTTTAGCAAGTGTTTGGCGTTCGGCTCATTGTGCCAGCTGCCACTTATCTTGCTTAAGTGCCTGGCGCTCGGCTAGAATGCCACTTGCCACTTAGCTTTTTTATTTTTAGCAAGAGTTTGGTGTTCGGCTCATTGTGCCAGCTGCCACTTATCTTGCTTAAGTGCTTGGCGCTCGGCTAGAATGCCACTTGCCACTTGGCTTTTTTATTTTTTCATTTTTTCATCTATTTTTTTTTTTAACCCCTTGAAAAGGAAAGCTATTTTTATAAATCTCAGGAATTTGCACGTTCATACGTACTTGATTGAAAACAAACAACATCCGATAAAACTGAAACTTAGCTTTTATTGATAGTACCTCTTCAGAGACGTAGCATTCCAGGGCTTGTTGACCAACTTTCCTGCCATGGTTTCTAATGTATATGCCTCTTTCCCTATGACTTCTGCAATTCTGTATGGGCCTTCCCAGGGTGGCATCATTTTTTTGACTATTCCCACCTTTCTTTTCAGAACCAGATCGCCAGGGGCAAAATCTCTGTGTTTCACTCTTTTGTTGTGACTATTCGCCAACACTTGCTGGTATGATGCAAGCCTTATTGCTGCAGCGTCCCTCTTTTCGTCTATCATATCGAGGTTCAATCTTAACATTCTGTCGTTCTAACTTTAACTCCATGTTAAGCTTCTGATAGTTAGGACCAAGTGCTCAACCGGTATAACCGCCTCGGTACCATACACCATTGCAAACGGGCTCTCCCCAGTCGGCCGCCTTGGGGTGGTTCTGTAAGCCCATAGGACGTTCGAGAGTTCATCCAACCACTTCCCTTTATGGTCCTCCAGTTTTTTCTTAATGCGGGCAAAAATTGTTCTGTTTGTAATTTCTGCTTGTCCATTGGCCTGGGGATGACTTACTGCAGCCAACTTTTGATTAATTTCATACTCCTCCAGCAGCTCTCTTACTTGCTTGCTGTCGAGGTTCGTGCCATTATCCATGACTATTGACCTTAGAACGCCGAAACGGCAGATAATATGGCTCCAGATAAATCGTCTCACATGAGTCTGAGTCACGCTCGGATATGGTTCTGCTTCCACCCACTTAGTAAAGTAATCCGTGGCCAGTAGCACATACTTGTTCTGAGCTCTCGCAGTTGGTAGAGGACCGACCACATCCATCCCCCATTGCGCAAAAGGCCATGGTGAGG